TGTCGTCGTCGTCGTTGTTGTTGTTTTTATTATTATTATTATTATTATTATTATTATTAATAATACTACTATTATTGCTATTATTATTGTTGTTATTGCTGTTGCTATTACTATTATTGTTATTATTTCTAAGAGAAGTCAATAACATTTCGTTTGAAGCGCTCAGGTGGTGGTTGTTATTATTGTTGTTGTTGTTGTTGCTGCTGCTGTTGCTCTCTTTAGTAATAATGGCAGTAGTAACAGAATTATGAGAATTTGCGCTATTTGGGTTGGTCAAATGTTGAGTAGAAGCTTCAATCGTAGCTTGTCTGTCAAAGGTTGTTGTAGAAGGTATACCAACACTACTCTGACGCGTTGAATCAACACCTAGTAACTCTGAGGAGTTGTTGATATTTACTGAAATTAGAAATAAACAAAGAGAAGTGAATTATTTTATTTATCACAGAAAAAGGAACACCGAGAGTAATAATGGTGAATTATTTATACTTTGAGAGGTAACCAGGTTGGTAACTTCAGCTTCATTTTTAGGTGTTGTCGGTTTGTTGTTGTTGTTAGCAGGGTTATTTTGGTTATTAATACTATTGTTAGTTCTTACGTCCATAGCACTAAAAGAAATAAAAAAGAAAAACCAGAAAAAACACAAGTGTTATTGTTGTTTGGTGTGGCTGGAAATTTGACTGAAAAATGTGTGTTATTCAACAAAGGTTGACCAAGAGGAATTGGTTTTTTTATGGGGATGAAAGTATTGTACCAACGTGAAACAAAAACGGCTTTGTGTGTGAATTTGTGGCGTCGTTCTTTTTTGTGAGAGAAAGCAAATATGGCAAGTGTAACGGAGTATTGCACCCACAAAAAGTAGCGTAATAAAAGCCTCAAACAAAAAACTGCATAGCCATAGGTGTTAATTTTAATAAGGCGTTCATTTGTGTAACAGCGCCACTTGATTGATTATCATTGCATATTACATACTTCTCTGCTTCAAAAACCAATGTCCGTTTTCGCGTCACACCAGCCTTAAAATAAATACACGACAACTTTACGTTTATAATCATTCCTTTTAATCTTAAGAGCATACCATCTTATTTGCGACAACTAAACTAAATAAGAATTTTGTAATTTGTATTCATGTGATACATGATCCCATGATTATATTTGATAAAATAAGATATATAATAGATTATTATAATTAAATTTATTCTGATAAAAAAAAATAATTAAAATTATAAAACAATTCAAGTTTTTTATTATATTTTTTTATTTTATATAGTATTTATGATTAATATTTGAACCAATCCAAGCAAATATCTTGATCTCAATTCAAAATATTTGTTCAAACATCCAAAAAATCATATTAAATCATATTGTTAATATTTGAATCAATTTTATTCAAGATTTTTTGTAAATATTTAAATTGAACTTGAAAAATTATTAATCTTAAATTTAATAATAATTTTAATTAATTATAATCAAATATTAAATTAAATAATTATAATTAAAAAATATAAAATAAAAAATTAGATATTGAATTTTACGTAAATATAATTAATAAATGGATTTCTTTTTTTAAATAATTTTTTATTTTGAATTTTCTTTATAAATATTTTATATCTTTATTCATTCATTAATAAGTATCTTCCAGAGATATTACCATATAAGTATTATCTATTATTAATTTATTTATTTCATTATTAATTTTATGTAACATTAATTTATTATTTAAAGATACTGTATCTGTTCTGTAATTTTAAGTATCAAGTACCAATATATTAAATAAAAAATAAGTTTTAAAACATAATCTCTTGTCTGTTTTTGATTTAGTTTTCTGTGTGAATTTTATCTCAAATATAATACTATATTCTGACTTTTCTATGTGAATTATTCAGATATATTATATTATGTAACTAGAAGATTACACTATATATTAATACTTCTAGTTTTAAATTAAAAGCAGTTTTAGCATAAAAAAATAATAAAGATATAGAATATATAATTACTTATACTAGTAAAAGAACAAATAATACTGAGAAGAATTATTAGATTACCAAATTAAAATATTTGATAGTAGTTTGAATAATATAACTATTCAGATCATATTTATATTCTAATATTTCTTTCATATTAATAATTGATTATAATATTTTGAAGAATTTATTTAATAAATTAAAGATTTCTAAAAAACTTATATTCTAGATTTTGACTTTAGAGAATTATAACTTTAAGATTAAATATCATAAAGACTGAATTCACTTTAATATAGATCTCTTATCTAGATATATTCAATTAAAATTAACTTAAATATAAAAAAAATAAAAAATATATCACAAAACTGCTTAATAACTACTTAATATATTCTTATCTGATTATTTAACTTGAATATAATAAAATTATTTGAATATTTATAACTTATTATTTACTTAGATACTTTAATTATATCAAAAAAAATATCAGAAAAAAATTATCAAAAATTCAAAACAAAGTAAAGTTATATTTAGTAAAGAAAGAAATTTTATATAAATATAATAAGAAAGAGTTAAATTAATCTTTGAAAGTAATTAAAGTTAATAAAATAGAAGAAGTATTATTTAATAATCATATATTAATACATATTAAATATTTTAATATTAAAATAACTTACTATAGAATTACTCAAAATTACTATTAATCTAGAATATATTTTAATATTGAAAATTATATAAAAACATATGATATATATTAATGCAAAGAAAAAACTAGAAAAAATAATGTATTATATCCTATAGAAAGTAAAAAATCTTTTGAAAAAATAGAAATAGATCTAATTAGACTACTTATATTAATAAAAGATAATTATAAATATATAATAGTTACTATAAATTATTATATTAAATAAATAAAAGCAAAATCAATTTTAAATAGTTTAACAAAAGTAATAGTATTATTTCTATATAAAAATATTTTTTGTAGACATGATTTTCTAAAAGAAATAATATCAGATAGAGAAATAATCTTCATTAATAAGTTAATAAAAGAATTATTTAAAAAATACTAAATTAAATATTACCTATCAATACTATATTTTCAAACTAATAAACTTGTAGAAAAATTAAATAGAATATTATATAATACTATTAAAAAATTAGTTCAATTATATAAAAAAGAATAGAATATATATATATCTTTAGTACTCTTCACTTATAAAATAATAAAATAAAGTTCAATAAAATTCATATCTTATCTATAATAAATAAACTACTATATCTTTAAATTTTAAATTATGATTAATTAATAATGAAAAAGATATTACTTTAAATAAATTAGTTAAAAAAACTTATACTATTATAAATAAACAAGAATTAAACAGATTTATTACTTAACAAAATATATAAAAATTTCAATAAAAATAAAAAGAAATTATTAATAAGATAAAAATTATTAATCTTTCTTTATTAGAGATAAAGTCTTAATAAAAAGAATAGAAATCTAATATTAATAACATGAAAAATTTGCTCAGAAATGAAAAGAATTATATTACATTCATTAAATTTTTGATAAAGATATCTATAAATTAAGAATATTAAATAGTAAAATTCTTAAAAACTCTTATAATAATAATTATCTGAAACTATATCTTGAAAATAATAGATTATAATCTAGAATTATCATAGAAAATTAAATACTTCTAGTCCTAATAAAACAGACTTCAATATTATTAAGTCATAACTTTACTAATATAAAGAACTAACTAAATAAAAGTAAAATTCTATTAATTTTATAATAATTCAAATAGTTAATATATTTACTTAAAACTTTATTATTCTATTAGTAAAAAAATATTATTACTTAAAAAGTTATCATTCAAAATATATTAATCAATTTTTTTTATTTATTACTATTATTTTTTAATAATCATATTTAAATATTTTTATAAATCATTAAGATGATCTAAGAAATCTTCCAAAAATAATTTTTCAAAATTAATTGATATAATATTATTTAATATAAAATAACTAGAAATATAAACTTTTAATTAAATAAAAAATCTATTTAATTATATAATTATGAAAAGTAAACAAGATTTTTTAAAGTTTTTTTATAATGTTGTGATATAAACTTTTAGTAAAAATTAGTTAATTATATTTTAGTTACTTCATATCATAATTTGATTGGATAAATAATTCTTTATATCTTATTGGATATTAGTTTTAGAGAATATTATTTGTAAATATTTTTAGATGATTTTGCAAATACAATGATCATGGCAAAATTATCATAGCAAAGTTAGCAAAATTATTACAGCAAAACTAATAATACTATTATAACAAAATCAATATTATGATACTAACTAAAGTAACATTTAGATCATAGCAAAACTAGTATAAGTATCATAACAAAAGTATTATTTATATAATCTCTAAAATATATAAAAGTGATGTATCTTAGCTAGTGAATTTAGTTAGTCAATTAGCTCAGTTAATTAATTAGTTATTTTAATTTAGTTTGAATTCTATGAGTTTAGTTCTCAATTTACATTTAAGTAAATTATAGTTTTAAGAGAATTTTAAGAAATCTTTCTTGTAAAATAAATCTTGATTAAGATCTATTATTTCATCTTGTTAATAAACTAAATATTACATCTGTCTTGAAATTATATTTTGGAATTGGACTATATTTTAGCTAGTTACAACAAGAATATTATCATTATTTATCTTTAGATTAATTTTGAAATAATAGTAGATATATTCTTGTCAATAAATCTTTTAAAGACTCTCCCAAATATTACTTTAAACATATTGTCACTTTTATCATGTGCTTTTGTAATATTAAGATTAATACTCATCCTTATTTCAGAACTCGCATCAAAAAGATAATAATAACTACAAAAATTATAAAAATAATTAAATTTTTTAATCTTTAATAAATTTAAATTATAATAATTAATTCTATTTTCTCTTATATTTACTATTTTATCTATATAATCTATTTTTTTATCTATTATTTTATTTATTATTTCATCTGCTATTTTATCTGTTATTTCACTTACTACTTTATTTACTATTTCATCTACTACTTTATCTTTATTAGATTAATAAACTAATATTTGTAAAAAACTATACAAAAATATTATAAATAAATATTTTTGCTAATTTCTTTCTATTACATATAATAGATAATAAAAGTAAGCATAAAGAAATTATAAATCTTATTATAATTTCTTTTCTTTTATTATTTTATTTTTTTATATATCAATTTGTTTTATTTAATTATTTATCATTTAATAATAATATAAAGATTGATAATATTAGACATTCTTTATTACTAACTTAATTTTTACCTAGTCAAGCATTAAATAATGAAAAATCTTTAATTTATAAAAAATTCAATTATATAATAAATATTCTAAATAAAAAAATTAAGAATATATATATTTTTATCAATTTTTAGATGATTAAATATAAAAATAAACTAAATTAATTAAAAATTAATTATCATCAACAAATTATTCAAAATATTTTAAAAAATACTTATCTTTAATTATTTTTAAAATTAAAAATCAATTTGTAAGATCTACTAAAGTTCTTTTTTCTATTATTTTATATAGTAAGTATATAAAAAAATAGTTAA